TCCGCGATAAGGCGAGATAGGGCGTCCGCTTGTCCAAAACTGTTTGTGGGTCGGTATTCGATAGTGAAGTCGTAGTTTTTCACTATTAGAGCCCAACGCTGAAGTCGGTTGGCCGTGTAGACTGGCACTCCTTTCTTGCTACCAAGAGATGGTTTGTGGTCGGTTAACAGCTTGAAATGACGTCCGTATATGTAACGGTGGAATTTCCGTAAGGCGAACGTTATGGCGAGAGCCTCCTTCTCGACTTGACCGTAATTCTTCTCGGCAGCTGTCAGGGAACGGCAGGCGTGGTGAATTGCTTTCTCCGTTCCATCCGAAAAGCGGTGACTAATCACTGCTCCTATCCCATACTCCGATGCGTCGGCCGCGATGACGATCTCCTTTGTGGGATCGTAGTGGGTGAGCAGAGGTCCGAGGCTAGCACATCCTTGGCGCGTTGGAAGGCGTCTTGACACTCGGCAGACCATTGAACGGAATGTTCTTCTTCAGCAGATCGTCCAACGGTGCACGTAGTTGTCGCATCTCGCTGATGAAGTGTCCGTAGTAAGTTAGCATCCCCAGGAACGATCGTACCTGGCCGATGTCCGTGGGGTGTGGCATCTTGCGAATTACTTCGATCTTGGCGGGATCGGGTCGGCGTCCAGTAGCAGTCGATTATATTTCCAGGTATCGGAGTTGAGGCATCAGGAAATTGCATTTTGTCGATCCGGACACGGAAGCCATAATCGGATATCCTTTTGAACAAAGCTTCCAGATTGGCGACGTGCTCCTCGATATTGCGGCCTGTGACAATAACATCGTCGAGGTATGCAGCGCAGCCTTCGAGTCCGCAAATCATGGAATCAATGATTTGCTGGAAGATGCCTGGCGCAGATTTGACGCCAAAAGGGAGGACAGCGGAGTAGTCCTCTGTGCGTATTAATAGTTAACAGCTCCTTCGCCTCGTCGTCGACTTCGATTTGAAGATAAGCGTCGGCGAAGTCGATTTGCGTGAATGCTGTGCCACCGTTCAGTTTCGTAAAAACGTCGTCCGGAGTTGGCAGCGGATGTTGATGTAGCATGAGCGCGTCGTTCAATCCAGTAGAAAAGTCAGCACAAAGTCGTAGCGTTCCGTTTGCTTTCTTGACGACGACGATCGGGCTGCCCAGGCAGAGTAGTCCACCGGCGAAAGCACTTGTTCTGCAAGTAAGCGGTCGATCTCTTCATCGAGAGCGGCGACGTATGCGTATGGCACGGGGCGCTTCTTCTTGAAAACAGGTGGAGCATCGGGTTTCAGCTGGAGTGTCGCCTTCGTCTTGGTGCATCGTCCGAGTCCTGTCTTGAACACGTCGGCATGTTGACCTTCAGTTTGGCGACAATCTCTTCTCGGCAGGGAGCAGCAGGATCAGCAACGATAGTCACTCCACTGATGTATTTTTGCAGTGGTTCCACCAGTTCTGGAATCTTCTGGATCCATTCCCAGCCGAAAATGTCGAGGTTCTCGGTGACGTAGCAGCTTCCTCGTCCACGGTGCTGCCTTCCATCTGAGCTCCTCAACACGAAGTCGACCATGATGTATCCTTTTGTGGGAATTCTTGTTCCATTAGCGGCATTGACGATCGTGTTGAACTTCTGTAGCTGCGGCCTTCCGAGTTTCTTCCAAGCTCGAATTTGAGATCAGTGTGATCATTGCGCCAGTATCGAGTAGAAGATTTAGTGGACGTCCATTTACTTCGACTTCCAGGTGTGGTTGAGCGTCCTTGCC